ACTAATGATGGTGGCAAAAAGAACAGTGCCTACAACCAAAAGTGTCAAAGACAGTGGAACTGACCTTTCCCTTTCCTTTTCTCTTTCCCTCTCCGTCTTCCTTTCTTTTTCCCTTTCCTTTTCTGTTTGCCTTTTTTCCCTTTCCCTCTCCCTTTTCCATTTTCCCTTTCCCCTTTTCCTTTTTCCTTTTCCCATCCCTTTCCCTTTCCCTTTCCCTTTCCCTTTCCTTTTTTACATTAAGTCTCTTTTTACATTGTTTCTTTCAAATCCCTGGATACCTGCAGATGGGCATGGTGAGCTTTAACGACATAAATAAATAAATAAATAAATAAATAAATATTTTTTGTTTGGAATTGTACTTTTTTCAATGGTGATTTTTAGTTTCTCATGCTGTCAAGTTCTCCAGAGTTAAAGAGCTTTGTTCAGGAATAGACTTAATTCTCACAATTGTCCTAGGTGTTTATTGCATGTACTGGCAAGTAGAAGTCATCCCCAGATGTCTTTATTTCTTTTTTTTGTAAATGAGAATCCTGCTTTGTCTTGTCATCTATGATCAAAAGCTGTGTATTAGACGAAAGTGTCCTAATAAGCTAAAATTACATATAGCGCCCTATTAAATATAGCAGAAAAAGAGAATGATTAATACTTAATTTCTTGCACATATAGTACTGCAGCTTTGGAAGTATTTTTATGAAGTATTTCCCACATGCATAATGTTCAGTAATCCTGGTGTAGCTTGGAAAATAGGTGAAATGTGATTTAAAAAGTCTCCTCAGAAAGACACATACACTACTCTGAGGCAATCTTATTTACTTAAAATTTCATTTTACTATTCCCACAGAGAAAGAATGCACTCTATAACAAATGCTGTTTCTTACAAACTGACACTTTTAGAACCAAATCTGCCCTAAATTATAAACTGCATTTTCCATTGCTTGATACACCTAAAACTGAAAGGCATGTAGCTAAGCTACTCTCCCATGATTAATCCAGTACTTAAAAACATAAAGGAAATAGCAGAATAGCTCCTAACAAATGTATTGCAACAAATTATTCATGAATTTTCTTTCAAGCAAATGAATATCTGCTGTTCTTCTCAGCAGAAAATCCTGGGCTCTGAGTTTTGACAAAGCTGATAAAAAATAATTGTTTGAGACAATAAATCCTCCTACAGAGGACATTGCATTTCCCACATCTTCACTTTTTATCAGGAGAACACTAAAGCTGCCTGGAGGCTCTTCAAACAGATGAAGTATAGGGCTAAATAGATGTGCTTAATGTTGTCTAAATCATAGAAAAGTACTGAGAGGGCTGGAAACCTCACCACCTCCAGCTGCTCCCATAAACACGTAAGACCCAGCTATAACTTGAGTAATTTCCACAGTCTTCTCAGGGCTGTTGTACTGCTCTGAGGTAGTAGGTATTAAGTTTTAACCCAGCCTAGTCAACTGCAAGGAAAATGAAAATATGTCATAAAACTCTTGAAAGTGAGCAAGGGTGAGAAGGAGTGACAGACCTGCCTACAGCACAGGGGCACTGGACTGGCCCCAGGAGAGCCAGGAGATGTCCCGGGACCTTGAAAAACATGTTTTCAGATCCCCCATGTGGAGAAGCACCTCCTGGATTCCTGCTGATTCTCCCTCACTGTGAAGCTATTTTTTTGAGCATCTTTTATCTGCCATTTAGAGACATTAACAAATAGCTCTGTCTCACAGAAAAATAACACTAGAAATGATGAAAGCCTGGCTTCCTATGGGTTTGTGTTTCTTGGCTGATTACAAGTGCTGATTGAAGCTTCTTTCCAATCACAGTAGACAACTTCTATAACATTTCTTCTCATGGATTTTTATGTCTTTTAAATATATATAGTCACAGTATAATCCTTCATTTTTCAGGACTCTTCTGTGGGGTCGTCAGCTGCATTTTTTTCATGCAAAAGAAGGAAAATGGAGCCCTCTCTCTTCCTACTAAATTTGTTTGAAATCATCACTAAAAAAATGATTAAGGAACATATGTAAACATACATGCACTCATGTACCTCCACATGATCAGAGGAGTCTCACTTCCTACAGAAATCAGGCTAAGGTAACGGACACCCTAAAAAGTTCGTGATGTACACACACACACATGCCTGTCTACCACCAAAACAGAAGCAAACAAGTGAGAAATGCCTCTTCAGTTGTAACCCTGTATCATTGTGTCTATTGAAGGGCACAGAGGATGAGGTAGGGCATGCTATTTGGGATGCCTTTACTGAGAGCCCACCAGTAGGATATATGGAGACTGGAATTAGCTGGCATTACACTAGCAAAAAAAAAAACAAAATCAGCCCTTCAGAGTACTAAGAAATGTGAGAGTTCAAAGCCTCATATTTATTATGAGCTCTAGGAGTCTGTTTTCCCATTTACACTAATGGAATTGTTGATTCTCAGTTAGCCTGCTTTTGGACTAGGCTGGCACAAATGGGAAGAAAATGAAGCCCAGTTGCTTCTTAACACCTGTGATAAAATCAAAGGTGATGTGTCTGCTGCAATGCAGTGACAATATTCTTGGCTGTGTTATGCTCTTAGAAATCTGAAAAGTGAGAGGGAAAGTATGATGAGAGATTTAAGAAAAACAAGCATGAATATGAAGGTTTCTTGCCAAAACAAATATATGTGGATTTGCAACATGTCTGGAATGGGGCCAAGCAGATTTTACAGATTTTACTCTGTGTTCTTGGTTACACAAGCCTAAACACAAAAATGTGTTTAAAGATGTGATTTAACAGTGGATAACTTTATCAGCTCCCTTATTCACTTAATATAAAGTACATTAAATGTCTACTTGCTTCTTTTGGTTTCCTTTCTTTCTTTTACACAGACTTGAACATTTTCCTCTCCTACTTGACTGCATTTGAGTGGCACCTGCAGAGACATGCCTGCCTTCAGGACAAAATGAATGCTGATAATTTAATAAATAAAGAAATTATGCTCCTCACAAAAAAAAAGAAAAAAGAAAAAAGAAAAAGAGACAATTTTAAATGCTGTTGCATTTTTCAGCAAGAAAGAATTGTTATCAGGCAATTTAAAAAAAAATAGTTTTTTCTCAAGATGGAAGAAATTCTCCTTATTACTGAGCCAGTAATTTCAGGATAGCATCCTATACTGAGAAATGGAAAGACCTAGTTTTTTTTTCTTGACAGAGCTCCTTTTTGGTTCATCTCAGATTTTTCAGGTGCCCAAACTGAGCATTGTAATGGTAATCCCTAGCCTGGCAAGCAAGATGAGTGTGCCCAGCAGTGGGTTACTGCCTCGGCTCCTAGCCCAGGCACTGGTACAAAGGAAACCTCTCTGCCAGAGTACTGCCTGTGAGCTACAGCTCTTGGAGCACAGCACTGCCACCAAATTGCTCACACTGCAGCACGGGGCAGCCAGCATTATCCTGTACTATGGTCCACCATGCAGAGGCATAGGAAACTTTACACAAGACCTCTTACAAATCTCTGCTGCCTGAGCCCTCTTATGCAGAGCCTGCCACCTTCAGAGAGAAGTCACCCTGGTTTCTGCCTTCTGCTTTCCCCTGGGTCTTTGGCAAGGCCTGTGAGTATCTCTTGTTCCTGCCCCTGTGAAATATGGGGGGTCAAGACATGAGTTACACTTTTTGTTCTGCATGTCAAGACCATGCAATAGGCAAGAAAGGGGTATGACAGGCCCTATCTATGCAATTGGAAAGAAGGAAATGGTATCTGGGACGTGATATGGAACAGAGACAAATAAAAAGCTTTTGTGTTCTTACTAAACTTAGCTGAAGAGGAAAGAAGAGAATGCCAGGAGGTACAAAACAAAGTGTCATGCTGCTTTTGTAATTGCCTAATTGGACAAAATAATTGTCTCCTGCAGGGTGACCCTCTCTTGCGGCTCCAGCAAGGAAACGCAATACAAAATGAGGAACTGGATTTTCTGAATAAACCTATTGTCTTTATTACGTTACCATTTTATGCTATTGCGATTATTGCATAATAACCCACTTGTTGTGAATACTCATATCTTTTTACATATTTCTTGATCTCACAGTCCTTATAGCATAGGACCACCCAGAGAAATCCTTTGTCAAAATTCCTGTGCTCTAACGATGCCAGAAAGTGTTTTGTTCTTTGGCAATTAACTTCACTAAATTTCAGAGCACTTAAGGCCTATTTATCTAGAGGCCTACAGAAACTTGCTCACATAGTTGGTATCACTAATGGATTGATGACAGGCAGCAGTAAAACCCTTTGATCCCAGTCCTCAGGTCCTGTAACTTGTCTGAGGTGGATGGCTGAGCTGCTTCCTCCATTGATCAAGCAGGTATTATTATAATTAAGCACCTTTGAAGTGCCAAGTTATATGAAGCTCTGGTGCTGTTCAGGTTGTAGAAGTCAAATGAAATTTATTAATATTCTCATTTTTATGGAATATCATGCTGGCTATGGAAATGGTTTTTCTACACATTCAGATTTGTCCTGCTGAGGCTGCTCTGCCTGGGAAAAGCACATGGAGGGAAATCATCCAGAGCTGAGAACCTGTCCTCACTCCTGATTTAATCTTAACCTCATGTTTTCTTAAGCAAGTCATGGGATCTGCATCTCCCAGTGGAGCTTTAGACCCAGCCTTGTTGCTGAACCAGGGTGATCTGTGGCACTTTGCCAGTGTGACACGCAATGCAGCTCAGCCAAGCATGAGAAGAACAGTCCTGAGCCATGTAGCCTGAAACTGTGCCTGAAACTGTGCCTCCACCACCAAAGTCAGAGCATTCCTCCAGTAATACCCCCAGGAAAGGGTCACCTCAACAGTTTAGTAAAGAAAATCACTTTTGCCATTGTGCCTCAGGGTTGTATTCACTAGTCACTATGAGGCTGGGAGGCAGCTTTGTCAACCTCTAATTAATGCTTTTGCTGGCAGCTATTCCCTCTCCTCGTCTGTTTCCAAGAATCATGGATATAACCAGCGCTCACCGAGGCTGCCACCCACTGCCTGCCACAGCCCCGCTGGAGCACCCTGCCCAAACTGCAGCAGCAGACCCGAGAGAGCCTAGTCATCAGCAGCCCAGAAAATGCTTCATGGGGACGTTTGAGAGCACACTCATTTCTCACAGCCCTGTCCACAACATCAAGTAAGTGAATTTACTATTTCATTGGCTGTGCTCTCACTAAGGGGAATACATGTTGGAGAAATTTTGGAAATGAAGAAAGCATGTGGGTCTAAACAATGATGTCAAAAGAGGAAAAAACACACCAATTTTTATTCTAGAGCATGCAGGGACAAAACCTCACACATGTGAACTGCAATAAGCTTCTTTAAAGGTGATATTCAAATAACTGTCCCTACTTTTTCTTCCCTAGAAACACCTTTCAAAAGCTAAAGTCAATATATATTAAAATCTAAATAGAATAAAAAGGAGGTAAAAATGCCAACATCTATAAAATGTCCACAGAAGATGTTTAAAAAGTTTCAGTTCCACTCTGCTAGCACTAAGAATGGGAGAAATGGTGGGCTCAAATCTTGAAGTTACCAGATAAACAGGTTGTAATAAAACTAGACAGAGAGCAGTGAGGGAGGTCTTAAAATATGCAGTTTTTAACTGCTTTCCTTGAAAATCTCAGTTGCTGTCTGTGCTTTTGGAGGACTGGGTTTGTGGGGAGGAAAAGGTGGTGCTGAGCACCCTGTGTCCGTGATAGGCACATGGCTGGGGTTTTTGCTTTGGATGAGCTCTGGTCTGGTCCTGTGAGCTTAACTGCTGTTAGCAGTGGATTGTATTGTTTCACCCAAGAGCAGCCAAGACTGCATGTCACCTGCCTGCTCTGCGATGTGAAACACGGCACTGTACATGATGGGAGACAGTTGAGTCAGCTGCCAAGTGAGCTCCTGCTCTGAAATAAAGCACTAAGGTAGGCAATGCACTTTGTTAGTTGTTTGTCACCGCAAAGTAAACCCTTTATCTGGTTATCATTTCTGCCTGTAACTAAGAGAAGTAATTAAAAAAAGTGCCATCTGCCCAAACTGTACAAATATGAAAAGTGCTTAATATGTTTGTATGAAAAAATTCTAATATGGACAAAGAAAGTACAGGGATGCTTGATTTCTCAATGACTATTGGAATATTTTGGTATGTAGTTACAAAACTACCTCATGCTACTCTAATTCATTGCTAAGAAAAAATTTAGGAGCTTCAGGAAGGCCGCATCTAAAAAATGATTTCCAGTAATTGCATCATTTTATAAAGTCTCAACAGTGTTGGAAAAATTGGCTTATAGTCTGAATGACAGTTTGTGTGGCAGATTTAGAGTGGATATGAAATTTTCCCATATCAAAGCTGAAAAAGAGGTCTGACAGCTGCAGATTCTCTCAGAATTAATAATGTGGAGCTGTTATAAGACAATATTTAAGAAAAATTAATTCCTTTTTGCATCATTGAAGCCACTTTCTTATAAAATATTAAAAAGGATTAAAATTTGTCTGCTGCCTGAACAGGAAAAAAAATGTTTTATCATAGAATCATAAAAGAATCATTAATTCCAACTGTTATTAGTTCTAGCTTATGATTTGGGGTAAATCAAGCACCCTCAGAGTATCTGCACTTGCTACTAAAATTCAAGACAGAATCTTGGCTCTAGCTTAGGAAAGAATATCCGCTTTCTAGCTTCATCATTTAAAATCCACTGACCAATCCTTACTTGCAGAAGCTTTCTCCACTTCTTTAACTATTGCAAGCACCTCTGGAAGGTTAAATAAACTTGTTATCTGCTATGTAAGCTCTCTGAATACCAATTGACTTATCTGAAGTTCTGGTTTGTCCTAACTTTACAGATACAAATTTTTCCCTATGTCAGCTTTTAATGACTAATATGTTGTATAATGTCAACACAAAACCAGGAGACATGGCCTGGTTTTGTATTTTTCTGTCTAGCAGGGAGAAAGGCTGACATAAAATTTTAGCAGGAGACTTAAAAATTTAATTTCAAGCCCACCTAAACTCCCCCTGGCTTGACAGTTTAGCCATTCTGCTCCCCATTCCCACCTGCAGAGGAGAGACAAACTTGTGTCTCATCTATGTGAAACTCACCTGTGCACTTAACCTGCTGCAGCCCCCTAGGCAAGGCAGTGCTTTCACAGCTGGTGAGATGCTGCTTATGCTGGAGCAAGAGACCTCAGGAGCTGCAGACAGGTCCTATCACTGGGAGCAGAGTGCAGAAACCCCAGCAGCCTGGCCAGCATTTATGTAGTGGAAGCCAGGGCGAGTGCACAGGGGAGGGTGAAATGAGGGGATGTTGCAAGCTTTGCCTGGCTGTGTGGGTTGAAAGAACTTCCCGTCAGTCTCAGGGAAAGTCCCAGCCCTTGTATTTACAGCCGAAGTGAAGCTGTGGTTGCTTTTGTCATGCTGGCACTGACTTGCCCCTTGGCTATCGGCCAGAACTAAGGTTTGGCTGCCTTCACCCACTCTTGGAAGACTAACCTGAGAATCCCAGAAGCCAAAAATGTTGTAGCAACTATTTGCCTGGAAGGGGAGTTGCTTTGTTTTTTTTTGTGCTAGGGCTCTCCTGTGCCATTCCAGTTGCTGGTAGGGGCAGTAAGAATGTCACATTGAAAGGAATTTGGCATTCAGGTGGCTGAAAGCACCTGCTCTCTGAGGTTCCCTAGATGTTCATGGCAGCTGCAATGATCCTGCGGAGCCAGAGCCTGCTATGTATACGTATTGAGAAATGAGCTTTTAAGAGGTAACCCCCTGGGAGGATGCAAAGCTCTTCATGTTACACATCTGTTTAGAATGGAAGATAATTCAAGACAGATGCCTTGAACATCAAGAGATGACTGAACTGCATCACAGTCCAGATAGGGGAAAGGGGATAAGAGAATCCCACTAGTGCTGAGATTTTAAAAGAAGTTTGGAAAATAAATTGAAAGGGATTTAAATAGCATTGCACTCTAGATTTGCAAGCAATGTCTGCCAGTAAAAAGAAAGAAAGCCGATGAAAAAGATTTTTAACGTCAGCTTGCCTTTGGGAGACTTACTGGAAAAAGTAGGAAAACATACTAAAAGGGGAAAAGAGAACTTAAAACATAGAGCTGATCTCTAAAAAAGAAAAAAGAAATGACAGTAGTTCCATTCAGAACAATCTGTGACTGTGCTAAGGCTGAAGAAACTATTTCTGAGAGCTTGAGTCCTCGAGAAGAGATCAGATTGAGTTTGATATTTAGGACAGTAACAGCCCATGTCACTTGTGCGCTGTTACAAAAAGCACAAGCCAATGTGATGCTTGAATCACTGGAAAAGATCCAGGGGTTGAAAAAGGTGACATCACTTAGGAAGACTGTGGAATACAGCAAGGTGCATATGGCATTGGCAAAGCAAATGACTTGGCTCAGAATGTCTTACAGGTGGAGCAAAGGGCACCAAGGCCGTGGACATGTCTGGGGTTAAACAGTGCAGTATTCATTTTCATCTGAGCCACCAACTAACATGCTACCAAAAATAGTGTTATAACACTTAAATTAAAACCCAGAGAGAGTGGAAAGGAAGGCAGTTGACTCTCAGAGCTTAAAATGATAAGGCTAAAACTACAGAAGATGTGTGAGAAATAAATGTGCAAATTCATAATGGAAAAAATAGTCAAGTGCTCCGCCCTTGAGAGCATCAAGGTGATCTAAGCAAGGTGATCCTGTGTAAGAACATGAGCAAAAATCTGAGAAATAATTTGAAGCCATTTTCCAGTGGCTTAGTACCTTATGAATATTAAAAAAAAAAAAAAAAAAGCAGGAAAGGGTTGAATTGTCCAATTCTCAAACCTATGTGATCCCTTCACAATGTAAGGCCATGCTTTAAGGAGAAGCTGTGTACAGTTATTGCTTTGGGATGACTGGAGGAACTGACAAAGTAGTTCTTGTATTGTACTTGTAGAAAAGATGGATGAAACCCTTTTTTTGTCCATAGATAGACCTGAAGGAACAAAAAAGGTCTGTTACTCTACTAAAGGGAGATACAGTCAGTGGCAAATACTTCTCTGTCCCTAGTACATCATTGGGCTCCTGGTGGGTGTTCATGTTCGGAAAAAGAAAAGAGATTTTTTGAACTTACACAAAACTTTTGTATGATTCTATGAAACCTTTGTGAGCTGCAGTCTTTTCTCAGATGTCTATTTGGGCTCTGTTGGGCACCTGAGGAAAAAAGTGATAAATTTTTCATGCCTTTCAGGTTAGTAAGATTTACACAGATGACATTTAGAACTGATGAAAAACACTGGCTCGAAGCAGCCATAGAAAGAAACTGTGCTTCTGGGCTGAAGCTGGACAAACAACACTGTAAATGCCATGTAGCACAAATAATAACATACTTGAAGAAAAGTGAGCACAACCCCCAAGTAAATCACCAGAAAATATCCAGCAGTTTGCGTTCTTCGACAATATTTGGGTGCTGAATTGTAAAAAGAAACGTACCTAATGTAGCTTCTTGAGAGTGCCATCACAATGATCTCAATGTAACTTGAAAAAATTAAGAAATAAAAAGAATTAATAAGACATTTCAGACCTGAGTGTAAAACATCTGTGGGGGCTTTTGGGGTGTATGTTGATGTAGTCCTTTTAAACAGTGTCGAAAAAAACAAATGATCACAGTAGTTTCTGAGTTAAAAAAACTTAGGTGTTCTCAAGAAAAGATTTAATCTTAGTCATGGAAATAAACAAAACCATACATTTTTATTTACTGAAGGCCAGGGCTATTTGAAACTGATTATAAATCATAAGAAATTACCAAACAGACCCTGGCCAGTGGTTATTTTTCATTATTTTTCAGTTATGAACTGTGACTTGCAGCTTCAATATAACCTTGAAATTGCAAGCAAGATTTCGAGAGCATTAGACAATGGAGCCAAGTCCAGGGAGATATTTGTGCATCACTCTTATTGCAACAATAGCTACTGAGGCTGAGGTGCTTCAGAAAACAATTCGTATCATGAATGAAAAATCAAATTTAGCCTGAAAACATGAGAGTGGTAAGCTTGACAGTACTACTGGGAAAGATCTTTCAGAGCATATGTGTGGGTAATTTCAGGATTCATATGTATAAGCAAAAGGCCAGAGACATCTTGTACTTGAATCTCAGCCGAGCAGTTGTGTTTAGAAAGAAAATAAGGCAGTGTATGTAGTGTGGCCATGGTGAAGGGCACGTCTAGTGGAAGAGTTTACAGAAAAGCAGGAAAAACCTGTATTTTGAGAGGATATGCTTATTTCTGCTTCCTGTGTGTTAGTATTCCAAAGCATTATTCTCCTTTTCCTTAGATAACCTTCCTATCTATTACTATTTGTCCCCGAGAAGTCGACTCCAGAAGTCCATACTGTGTGTCAGATTTATTTCTGTTGACCTAGCATACCTGGGAATAGGTAACCATTCAGCAAACACAAGCTTAAGTAGGAAATGAGGCTTTTAGAGAGGTTTTGTCCAGTACCTCTTGTTCAGCCCAATAAAACAATGGAAAAAGGAATCAAAATACCATGCAGAAATGCAAAGACAGGTGAACTGCACCCATAGACCTCTGGAGCCCTGGGTGCTTCACAGGCTGTGTGATGCTGAGGCAGGAAAACCGGCCTCGGCACAGAATGAGCCCCAGGCCAGGGTGTTAAAGCAGTCACAGGGCTGCTGCATCTTTGCCCTTCAGGCAAAGTACTTGTAATAATCCTGTTAGTCCTGTCCTTGCTGTGTTCCGCTGCAGTAGCAGCAGCACTCTGCTGTGACCCTGGCCAGGCTTGGAGATGAGTATGGGGCTGCTTATGGTTGGGTGGCATAGGTCCAGGGCTGGCGTCCAGGTCCTCCTGGCCATGGAAGAAAAAGGGCTGAGCCGGTGGCCTACACACACAGCAAGGTCCTCTTCCAGACACTCTCTCCTGCAGACACTACCCCTGGAGCAGCAGTCTGTTGTGGGGAGTGACAACATGCTTTTCCTCCACCACCAGGAAGGTCTTTGCTGTGAATGCGACTCTTTACTGCCCTCTGCAAAATCTGCCTCAGGGCTACTGGTCTTCTCCCAGAACCTCCTCCAGACCTGGGATAGGAATCAACCAAGACGCCAGCAGCCACCAAAAGGCAGGAGCTCCTTACCATCTCTCCTGCACAGCCTCTACCTCCATGTGCAGGTGGCAACTCCCTGTGATCCCTCCTCTGGCTCCCCCAGTACTTCTCACAGCTTCTGCTCCCCTCCTCCTCTCACCTCTCCATTTTTTCCTCACTCACATAAATCACAGGACCTGCTTGCTGACATAGTCCTGGCTCTGACCATTCTGTCCATCTGCCACCAGGAAGGGGTTGCTGTTATCACGGGACTTGCCTGCCAGCCCTAGATGGTCAGCAACCCTCACAACCCCCAGCAGCCTGCTGGGAATGGTGGGCTCTGCTCTGTGTCCCTCTTTGGGGTCCTTGTCATTCAGTTTTGAGCTTTCATCGCTCACACGTCATCTTTCTTTCTCTTTTTTTATCCCCATTTGTTGTCTCCTATCATCACTTGCCTGTGCTCCTTTTCTTAGTAAAAAAAAAAAAAGAGCAATGGTGTTACAAAGCTACATGTTGCTTGTAGGAGGTGGTTTCCCCAGGCTCAGATAATTGTGGAAGAAGAGATGACAACACTAAATAAAACCAACCCAGAAGGGAAGGAGAAGAAAAGAGGCACAGAGCCTGTCACTTTGTGCTGCAAACTCTCCATCTGACAGCAAACCACAGTGTCCCAGGACACGCAAAGAGGGTTGCTGCCCCTGGAAGAAACAGTCCTGGTGCCTTAGAGGGAACCAGCATGCCCACAGGGACACCATGGGGCACATCAAAGGCTGATGGATACTTACTGATAAATGCAATCTCAAGGCTGGTGATAAACATTTATAACTCTCTGTAATATCATTGTTTGAAATATACTTGTTTTTATCTTTTCTGTGGCAGGGAAGGTATAGTCTTGGGATAGTGCCTTAGAGGTTTAGCATCTGAAGCAAAAGTTCTGGCTATAGCATTGTCAAGACTTTCTGTGTTATATACAACCTTCACAGACTGGAGAACATAATAAACCAGATCTTGTGCTAGCTGCTTGTTCTGAGGTCCATAATTGCAAAGGTATTCGAGATGGAAATCATCTTTCAGGATTTATAAATTAGAGATCACAAAACACCATCAAGCGCACTAGTTTGTGTGTAACCCAAACCTCAGTGATGCCAGAATAGAATGGATATCTACCTGAAAACAAGGCATGCATTAGCATGATTTAAAAATAAGCTTTGTCCTGTATTCTGTAATGACTGAAGCGTTTTTCCATTTTCTGTTCCTGGCTAGGCCAAAGGATTCTTGCCTATAAAGTTATCTATTTGCAAAGGAATTGCGTTCACAAACCTCATTAGTCTTCAACACGCATAAGAAGATCAGTCAAGATATTCCTAAAGGGACCTCTTATAATAGTGTCAGTATTTTTTGATTACATGCAATTTTGGTTTTTAAGTGGAGGTTAAAGTCACCAAAGACACATGCAGCTAAAATATGTTTTCTATGCTAAATAAAGGTGAATTTTTGAGGTGGTGTTTGTCATCTATTCACAGAATGACACTTCCATTTCTGAGATGATAATGCCATTTAGTATTACCCTTCCTTGCTCTTTCAGCAGATAAAGATACCCTGTGACCAGAGATAGCTCTTGTGCATGCATTTGTAAAGGCTACTCTGGGTTCCGCCTATATTCAAGATTGTTGCATCATTTCCAATTAGTCTTTCCTTAAATTACAACAAATATGACACTCTTGCTCACTTAATTTCTGGGAACATACCGTGCTCATAACAGTGCCTACTAGGAGCATGAAACACCCTCCGACATCTTAGATATAGTTACTGTCTCCTGTGGAGCAATATGCAGGACTTTAATTTCCAAGAATTTCACAGATAAACTGTACTGTGATTTTGTGTGACATGGAAAGAAAAATACTTGCAACTGAAATATTCTGGGAAGACCACCCTGGTACAGTGAGAAAAAAAAACAACTTCAAAACACATTGAAACATTTCAGTCAATGGCCCAAAGCAAAGCCTAGATTCTGAGATTCTGACTGATCCTTCCTGCGGTTTGAAGGGTGGATTTTTCCATTTTTCCATGTCCATATGTTGTCATATGGGGAGTGTTTTATTTCTGTAGAGTGTCCTCTGCAACAACTGGAGATACCATACTTTGACATTCACAGGAATGAATGCCATATTTTAGGTTGTGTGTTGATGTCCAATACAATTTCAAAATGGGGAAAAGAAGGGCTGATTTAAGAAGTAATTATATGTAGACTGTAATGCCTATGGCCTGAAATCTAGGTTACTTTGAATAGATCCTAATGCTTTACAAGCCATGTGTGTCTGAGAAGTCATTCCAGTATACCTAGTACTTGCTCTTAAAAATGTATTTGTGAACATCTAGAAGTCAGGGATGATGATTTTTTCCCTGCTTAGTACTTCTAATTGGACTTGCTTTCATTCCGTGAAGCTGAACTGTCATAGTTATGGAAGGTTAATGAGAGGTGTTTGATGTGTTCTGGAAAGCTGAGTATCTCATCTGGATGTTTATATACCTTTAAAATATTGTAGATCTTTCCACTGAAACTATTTACTGACCGATGCCTCCTCCAACCCTGCAGTCTACCAGCCCTTCCGGGTAACTCCCAGTTACATCCTGGGCATGATGTGCTGTGGTATGGAATACCTCTTTGGCTAGTTTGGGTCAGGCGTCCTGTCTCTGCTTCCTCCCAGCTTCCCCTCCTCCCTGGCAGAGCATGAGGCTCACAAAGTCCTTGGCCAAACCAAAACATCCTTGTTATCAGCTCTGTTCCCAAGCCGAAAGTCAAAACACTGCACTGCACCAGCTACCAAGGAGAAAAATGACTGCTACTGCTGAACCCAGGACAAGCCTTTACGGACACAGTATGAACATACAGATTTATTTACAGGGACACCCCGCAGCGATGCCCAGTGTGTGGCCACCATGGGCAGAGACATCGCCCTGGGCCTCCTGGGCACAGGCACTGCCTCAGGGCCAGCACCCCAAAGGCCTTTCTCCAAGGGATGCTGGGCGAAGGGGCAGCAGCAGCAGCAGCAGGGCTGCGGTAGGCAGGGCTGCAGGGGCCCCGTCACCCTTGTGTCATAGTGCCAGCACCCGGCCATGCAGCATCACAATGCTCCGGGGCAGTATGTGTCCAGCGCCCTCCCCTGTCCCGCTACCAGAGTGCCCGGCGCTGCCACCGGGACAGAGCTGGCAGCCTGAGGGCATCTGAGAGGCAGTCCCTGGGGCACCGGGGGAATTCCTGGCAGGGGGGAGGGGGTTGATGGGGGCAACCCTTGAAGCTGCACGAAGCTGCAGGAGGTTCTGTGCTGCGCTTCCAGCTCCTGGAGGGGCCACGCTCAAAGCTCATCGCATGGATGGATGGATGCATGGATGGGTGGATGGAAATCCTGCCTCAGTCGTTGGGGAGCTCGCTGTCCTCGTCTCCTGGGCACCGGGGAATTAGGTGAGGGGGGGACTAAGGGAGGGAACACTTGAAGCTGCGAAGCTGCAGGAGGTTCTGTGCTGCGGTTCCAGCTCCTGGAGGGGCCACGCTCAAAGCTCATCGCATGGATGGATGGATGGAAATCCTGCTTCAGTCGTTGGGGAGCTTGCCGTCCTCATCTCCTGGGCACCAGGGAATTAGGTGAGGGGGGGACTAAGGGAGAGAACACTTGAAGCTGCAAAGCTGCAGGAGGTTCTGTGCTGCAGCTCCAGCTTCTGGAGGGGCCACGCTCAAAGCATCATCGAGGGATCGTGCTTTAGTTGTCAGGGAGTTCGACGTCCTCACCTCCTGGGGAGAGAGTGGCAGCAGCCAGAAGAAAAAGGATGCACAGGTGGCTCAGTGCCCTCCCCCAGTGCTCTGGAGCTCCCACTGCCAAGCACAGGAAGGATTCGTGCTCCGAGGATTCATCAGGCCAAAGGCATTTTGCTGTTGTTGGAAGCCCCTGAGATGGCTTCAGGTGGAAGCAGAAAAAGCAGTGCCAGTGTCCCCTTGTCCCCTTAGAGGCGTAACCAGCTTGTGGAGCTGGAGCAGGTCTTGCTCACGTGCTCAGGGAGTAGCCGATCGCCAGCACTGGGGTCAGGAAGGAATTTTCCTCCGGGGCAGATTGGCACCGGTCCCCGGGGGTTTTTTGCCTTCCTCTGAGCACTGAGCATGACCCCTTGTCAGGGCTCCTCAGTCCACTCTGGCTGCGTTATCGCCTGGTGCTCATGCTCCACGAAGGCGGCCCCTCGTGTCCTGCAGCTGGGGGGGGGAAGGCTTTTTTGCCCCCAGGCTGGACTAGCAAGCGTCCCTGGGGTTTTTTGCCTTCCTCTGCAGCCGAGCACAGCCCCTTCATGGGGCTCCTTTGGGTCATGGTGTCCCAAAGGCAGCTGCTCGTGCTCCACGCAGGTGGCCCTCGTGCCCCGCATCCGGGGGGAGGCAGCCTTCTGCACTCCCAGGGTGGCCCCAGCATGGCCCCGGGACTCCCAGGGTGGCCCCAGCGTGGCCCCGGGACTTGCTGCTGTCCTCTGGAGGATTGAGCACCACACCTCGACAGGTCTTCCCTGGCCCTTTCTGGCTGGGTTCTTCTTGCACTGCTCTCGCGCCGCCATGGCACCGCTCCTGCCCTGCCTTTCCTTTCTCAGGATGCAAGGGAGGCTTTTGCCACCTAAACTGAAGGCTCTAAACTAAACCCGACTAAAATTAACTCAGCTAAACTAAATCAAATAACTTTATCTAGAAATAAATAAAATACTCTTTCTACCCATAACCATTCTGAGTTGTGTCTTTGAAAGGGATTTTGGTGCTGAAATTCCCTTGGCATTTCAGGTAAATAAGGATCTCCTCATTGTACAACTTGTGAGTGCAGGCAAGGGAAGGCAATAAAACGGAATGGAATAGAACAGAAGAGAGTGGACTGGAACTGAACAGAATACAATAGAAAGCTCTGCTATGTTATGCATATAGAATCATAGAATAGTTAAGAGTTGGAAAGGACCTTAAGATCATCTAGTTCCAACCCCCTGGCATGGGCAGGGATGCCTCGCACTAAACCACGTCACCCAAGACTCTGTCCAGTCTGGCTTTAAACACTGCCGGGAATGGAGCATCTGCCTCTTCTTTGGAAAACCTGGTCCAGTGCCTCACCACCCTCACAGTAAAGAGCTTCTTCTTTAAATCCAATCTAAACTTCCCCTGTTTTAGTTTGAACCCATTACCCCTTGTCCTATCACTACAGTCTCTAACGAAGAGTCTCTCCCCAGCATCCCTATAGGCCCCCTTCAGATACTGGAAGGCTGCTATGAGGTCTCCACGCAGCCTTCTCTTCTGCAGGCTGAACAGCCCCAGCTTTCTCAGCCTATCTTCATACAGGAGGTGCTCCAGTCCCCTGATCATCCTCGTGGCCCTCCTCCGGACTTGGTCCAACAGTTCCATGTCCTTCTTATGTTGAGGACACCAGAAGTGCACACAATACTCCAAGTGATGTCTCACGAGAGCACAGGAGAGGGGCAGGATCACCTCCTTTGACCTGCTGGTCACGCTCCTTTAGATGCAGCCCAGGATACGGTTGGCTCTCTGGGCTGAGAGCGCACGCTGAAGCCGGCTCATGTTCAGTTTCTCATCGACCAACACCCCCAAGTCCTTCTCCGCTGGGCTGCTCTGAATCTCTTCTCTGCCCAACCTGTAGCTGTGCCTGGATTGCTCTGACCCAGGTGTAGGACCTTGCACATGGAATTCAGCAGCAGTCAGTGAGGTGTTGCATTCCAGTAGTAGGACAAGAGGTAAACCCCCAAACTAGACACATGAATGTTAACAAACACAAGCAAATATCTAAACACCCTCTGCTACAAACATTGCCCTGTGTAACAAATGCAGAAGAGATTTCTTGAATTCTCCTTTCCAAGACCTCACCGTAGGCAGTGTAATAGCAAATGCCAATTGGTGTCTTGATAAGGAATGGTGAGGAAATGCTGCGTGCTCTATGTTTCTGCAAAGTTCATGCAGATGGAACCCAAACCCCTTTCCTTTCACCTTTGGGATCGCCACACTCAAATGAGTGTACGTG